AACCACTTAAGTTGAATATATGCAAATCTGCACATTCATTCAACTTTCGTTAGCATTTGTAACATCCATTGTAAGTAAGGATAATTAGCTAAATTCTGAAGGCATTTTATCTCTGGACTTGATGATGTAACAAAATCCATTGCAATTACAAAAAATTCTAAATGGGGAACTGAAAGATGATGAATTCCATCATCAATAGCATTTTAAGAGTGTATCATTAAGCCAAAGTTACTAATCCATCTATCTATGAACCATGATTTTTCCGTACAATCAACTGGAGTTTCATCTTTGATAGAACTCTAATATTTCATTTGTTTGTTAAATATTGTAAGTACATTAATGAAATGTCCTGGGTTTGGCTGTAACAGTTATTTTTCTCCTTCCTAGTAGCTGGTGCAGTGCTGTGTTTCAGCTGTAGTCTGAGAACAACGCTGATAATACACGAACATTTTAGTTGTTGCTAAGTAATGCTTACTCTGATCAAGGATTTTCCAGTCTCTAATGCTCTGACAGTAACGAGGAGTGCAAGAAGCTGGGAGGAAGCTGAGACAGGACACCTAACTCAAACTAACCAAACGGGTATTTCATACCACAGCACGTCTTGCCCAGTATATACACTGGGTGGGGAGTCACCCTGAAGGGGCAGATCGTTGTTTGGCTCAGGCTGGTGAGCAATTGTAGTGTGCACCGCTTGTGTTTATGGTTTTTTTTTTTTTCCCTTTCCCTTTCTAGCATCATGACATCAGCATGTCATGAGCAATTGTACTGTGTATCATTTGTGTTTATTGTTTTTTTTCCCCTTTATAGTTTTATATTCTATCCCCCTTGTTATTTCCCTTAGCATTATTATTATTAGTGGTAGTGGTTTACTTTAGTTCTTCGACTAAATAGGTTCTTACAGGTTCTTATCTCAACCTGCTAGGTTTACATTCTTTCTATTCTCCTCCCCATCCCACCCAGAGGCAAGAGGGAAAGCGGAGTTGAGCAAACGTGGTTCTGAGTTATCAGCTGCTCTTAAACCATGACATGATGAAAAACTGAGTTAACCCTATGTCCTAATGCTTAAAAGAGCTTGTAATAGGATAGCAGAAACATTGCAGTTGCTGATTTTGTTAGATAAAGAGACACGACTTGTTTTCTTTTTCTAATTTTTCCATTCCCTAAAGCTTAAAATGATGAGAACAACACTCCTATGAGCTGGTTTCAGCAGATTTACTAAATGTGTCCATGAAACCATACTAATCCAATAAATGTTAGAAATGATCAGATTTTTGCTGCAATATTTTGCTATTTGCATCCCTTTGATATAAAAAGTCAGTGCTAGAATCATCTATGATATTTAATAAGAGCAACTTTTAATTTGTATTTTATATTTATCCTATCAGATTTAAGTGTTACTACTCATATTACTTTGACGAAAAATGTTCAAAGTAGTTACAATTGAAAAAGTCTTAAATAAACTTATTTTTCTCTTTCAGGACTAATTAAAACAGATTTTTTCTGAATGGAAGTGAAAAAAAAATCACAAACTCAGTTTTAAAACACAGAGCTATTCATGAGAATTCTGTAGTTTGTTTCATGCAAATCTGTCAGGGATAAAAATCAACCACAATTTAGTTTCAAAACTTTCCCAACCAGCTGCTGAACAATTTATGCACTACTTTTCTATTTTTACTGCAGGACAATGACAATGATGAATGCTTTTCCTTGGAAATAAATATTCATTAAGCAGGCTAAGATCAAAACTATACCATTCCAAAGCCCCACAGATATGCAAGGTCCATTTGCCTCTTCTAAGAGATTTATTTGTGAGGAAGATGAACTGAACCCACAAACACATCTCTGCACAATGTAATAGTTCAGTTAAATTAAACCTATGGCAGTACCTACTTGTAACCTCAGTAATCAATATTATTAAAGTTGGTGTCAATTCTGATAATACCAAATATATGTGGCTGAACAACAAATTAGTTACAGATATAAATCAGACAAAGATAGCCCAATGTAAAGCCTTAAGAAGCAAAGGAAACAAATGCCAGTAAACTGTAGGTCACTGTTTTTCCATCCAGTCTAGGAATGAACATAAGTTCATAGACAAGGACCAAGTGGTAGCTCATTAGCTATTATTTACATAGTCTATGACTTTATTTTTTTTTTTTGTGCAAAAGAGTCATTCTATCAAAAGGGATTGTCTAAAATTAAGAATGACAATACCATTGGCATGTTGCGTGTTGCGTGCTTCAATACTCAGAACCACTATAATCAACTTGTACTAAATCAGAAGTGGTAAAAGGAACAACCTACTGTTATTTCACACAGTCCTATTATCAGTTATATGCTTCCTTTGCTCCAATACCTTACTGTTACGCTTCACTACACATACTCTACTGCCTTGCTAGGAAACTGAAAACACCCTAGTTTTCAACAGCTAATAAGAATATCTAAACATCTTTGTGTGTGTGTATACATATATATATAGAGAGAGAGGTGCCTAAAATGTGTAAGATCTAATCATGTATAAGAATTATAAATAGATATGATACTTCAGAAGCTAATAACAGAATATGGATGTAGTTTTGTTACACTTCCTCTGTTGTGGAGAAATAAATGGGCTCCTACAGAGGACAATTCGGAACACCTAGCCAGAGCCCCTGCCCTGATTCTAGCTCTAAACTTCTTACCTCTAGCTCTGTAGGCAAATTTCAGCCTCTTTAGATATGCTGACTTCAGTTATAACAGTTATTTTCCTCCTTCCTAGTAGCTGGTGCAGTGCTGTGTTTCAGCTTTAGCCTGAGAACAATGCTGATAACACACCAATGTTTTAGTTGTTGCTAAGTAATGCTTACTCTGATCAAGGATTTTTCAGTCTGGTGCTCTGCCAGTGAGGAGGGGCATGAGAAGCTGGGAGTGAGCAAAGGCAGGACACCTGACCTAAAGGAGCCAAAGGGGTATTCCATATCAAAGCACATCATGCCCAGTATATAAACTGGGCGGGAATTTACCCAGAAGGCGCAGATCACTGCTCAGGTCAGGCTGGGCATCAGTTTGCAGGTGGTGAGCAATTGTAGTGTGCATCAGGCGTGTTTATTTATTTTCCCCTTTCCCTTTTTAATTTTATATTCTCTCCCCTTGTTATCTCCCTTATCATTAGTAGTAATAGCAGTAGTAGGTTTATATTATACTTTAGTTACTGGACTATTCTTTTCTCAACCTGTTGGGTTTACATTCTTTCTATTTTCCTTCCCATCCTGCCAGGAGGTGGACAGGGAGGGCTGAGCAAACAGCTGTGTGGTTCTGAGTTATCGGCTGGGCTTAAAATGTGACATTACACTATCACTTACTTTTCTTAAAACTTTTCCTTCCCCAAAATAATTATAGAAATATGGAAATGTGGTCTTCATGCTGGATGACAATATGAAATTGCTGTAATTATATACAGCACTTAAGCAGGATTTTTTTCAAGGCTTTCCTCACACAAACATTATTCTGCAAAAGCTGTTAACTCATTCTTCTACTTAGGCTTACAACTTTAATCTTGTTCTTTTTTTATGTCAATTCTGTGTTGGAAAAATTCCACCAGGTTACTGATGCAAGTGATGAAGAAACCAGATAGTGCTATTTAAAGTCAAATCAACAATATGGAACTAGTTTTTTCTTAACTATATGAGCTACCTTTTGGACAATATTTTCTGGTTAGCTAATTAAACAGAAAGAATTCCACAGAATACAGCCCCCAAGAGAATTCAAGATTTTTTTGGAGTAGTTTAGAATGAAACAGACAAATTTTACTTGGTTCTGTTGATGTTTTAATAAAAAATATTTTTTAAAGCAAATACTAAAATAAAGCTGCCAATATAGGGTGTGGATAGGGTTACTTATTAATTACTTCAAATTACAACACACAAATTGAACTTGAACCACAAATTCATAACCTTAAATACACGACTGCCCCCCTCCATCCTTTCTCTCCCAGGATTTACTTTCAAGACACCCTAATCACAGAATCATAGAATCACAGAATAGAATCATAAAGTAGTTAGGATGGGAAAGGACCTTAAGATCATCAAGTTCCAACACCCCTGCCGTGGGTAGGGACACCTCACACTAAACCATGCCACTCCAGGCTCTGTCCAAACTGGCCTTGAACACTGCCAGGGATGGAGCATTCACAACTTCCCTGGGCAACCCATTCCCATGCCTCACCACCCTTACAGTAAAGAACTTCCTCCTTATATCCAATCTAAACTTCCCAGTTTAAGTTTTAACCCATTACCCCTTGTCCTATCACTACAGCCCCTAATGAAGAGTCCCTCCCCAGCATCCCTATAGGCCCCCTTCAGATACTGGAAAGCTGCTAAGAGGTCTCCACACAGCCTTCTCTTCCCCAGGCTGAACAGCCCCAACTTTCTCAGCCTGTCTTCATATGGGAGGTGCTCCAGTCCCCTGATCATCCTCGTGGCGCTCCTCTGGACTTGCTCCAACAGTTCCATGCCCTTTTTATGTTGAGGACACCAGAACTGTACATAATACTCCAAGTGAGGTCTCACAAGAGCAGAGCAGAGGGGCAGGATGACCTCCTTCGACCTGCTGGGCACACTTTGATGCAGCCCAGGATACGGTTGGCTTTCTGGGCTGTGAGCACACACTGCCGGCTCATGTTCATTTTCTCATTGACCAACACCCCCAAGTCCTTCTCTGCAGAGCTTCTCTGAATCTCTTCTTTGCCCAACCTGTAGCTGTGCCTGGGGTTGCTCTGACCCAGGTGTCAATGCTCATGTCTTCCAAATACAGATGAAACAGTTAAAAATAAACTAATTTTCAGTGTTCTTCCGTTTTGCACCAATGTGCCTTCATGTATAAACATCAGAACATGCACACATCTCAGAGAGGGGCTGAGCACAGATAAAACATACATCTCTAAGAGTGAGCGCAGCCATCCAATATACAGAAGGCCAAAAGTAATGGAATTCAATCACAGAAAGAAAATCTTATTACCTTACCTTAAGACACTCTTCTTGTTTGAAGAGATCCTCATAATCCTTAGCCTGCAGAACAGGAGAATTAAGGCTCTCTTCTACTTCAGACAAGGCTTGCAGAAGGTGAAGGATCTCTTCCAGGTATGTAGAAGGCACGTAAGTAGTTTTCACAGTCATAGTTTCGGTCACCACAGAAGTTGTATCTTCATGAACTGTTTGCTAGTATAGATATACAACAGAACACATCCTTTAGTTTCTAAAAACTATATAAACTTATAACAATGTAATATCCAGTTCACAACCTAGAAACAATTACAAATAATTTCTAAGGACAAATGCAAGAAGGTTTCTGACATAGATTACTCATGCTCCAGTAGTCTGAAATGGGAGGTGCTAAAATTAATCCATGCGAAATTATACAAAGTTATCTTCTAATCTCCGCAGAAATAAAGACAGGAGATTCAAGAGTACTCAGAGATTACAGTATTACTGAGATTTTAGTGCTAGCCCTTTTATTTTGAATTATCACACCTCTTTCAGACTCTGTCCTTCATTACAGAAATTTCATACATGCTAAATCATTTTGAGGTGTCAAGCAGAATGAGTTGTGTACTAGGTGCAATTTCTTAAATAATGTGTAACACAAAACAACCAGTTCAACTTAGTGATTTCAACAGTATACTAAAACTTTTGTCTTAAACTAAAAAGTACAGTTTGGAATTTTGTGATTTGAAAGGTCTTTAATGAATTAATATTTCTAAAAGAAATCCCAGCAACACACCTCTTCAGGAAATGAAGCTTTGGCTTTTGTTTGTTTTTTTTGGGGGGGGGGGGGTTGTGTTTTTTTTTAATCAGGACGAATATGAAATAGACACCCTATTCTGAAAGCATGTGCATGCACCAAATGTAGAGAAATCCCAGAATATTTTTGTGCCAAGAAAATAGATAGTTGATCTACGACATACAAGGTGACAAAATAGTGTCTGTTTATACACAATCACTACATTTCTGATTTAATGTGTTTCTGGATCATAGATAAAAAGTGAATCCAGAAGTGTGCTTTGGAGCAGGGAGAACTATGATTGCTTCTTTTAACTAACCTGATCACCTGAATTTCCATTAGAGCAGGCAAAACTCAAAAGATATAAATTATTTGTGGTTTCATAAGTTATATTTATTTGTTTTGTCATATCACATAGGATTCCTAGCGTGGGACCAAAATCCATTGCACTCAATGTCTGTCTTCTCAAAAATATAAACTTATTGAGAACCTAAAAGAACTTGTACAAGCAATTGCTCTTAAACTTTCTCTCAGAAATCATATTACTTAGATGCTTCAGTCCCAATGTAGATAATCACACATTTTGGAGGTTTTTTCACATTTTATGTGAAAGACAATGGATCAATGGTCCCAGAGAAAAAAAGTATCATTAGTTAGGTACACAGCATGTAAAAGAAAACAAATATAAACACTACCTTGCACACACTACTTTAGCAAGGTTTCTCATTTTAACTTGTTTGCCCTGTCCATCCTTTCATGACACGTTTCTCTCTTCAGTTACTGGGCTGAGCCATCTGGTTCTTCAGTTTTCTTTAGAGTCTTAAAATATGCATATACACATTCTAGAAGAGGTATGCATATCATACACAAAGCTCAAAAAGTTATCTGTAGACTTGTGTTATTCTGATGCATTTTTTAATCAAATCTAATTGCTTTGCTTACACTTTTTTCACTAAATGACTTTCTCAGTACATCTGCTAACACTGAAACCTCTCTAATTACCATACCACTGCTATAATTTTTATTATTTAAAATAAATGGCTTAATAAAAATTTGCATTTGTCCCCATACGCTTCATGAACCACACGCTCTGTAAAAATAACAGTTCACCCCAGTGAACCTAAAGCTGTCCCAGTTGATTAGAAAATGGGAGATTTTCAACAAATCACATGCAGCAATATATTTGCATTCCTCAAGATTACACTGTGACACTTCTAATAGTTCTTTGCTATGCTCCTATGTGTAGCAAAGAACTTTAGACCCACATGAGGAGCATTTTAAATATAATTGCATTTTTCTTTTTTTACTGAGAAGACAGAATAGTTATAGTCACCATAATGAAACAGCATGCCAGGTGTGCAAGGTCATTCACTTTAAATGAGGTCATATGAATATGTAAAGTGACACACAAAATATAGTTAGTTTCTATAGGTGTATTGGTTTAATCTATTTTATTTCAACCCAAATTTAGGCTAATAACTATGTACACACACACATTGATGTATATGTGTGCACATATAATAAAATCTTTGCCATCTTGCTCTAAATAATTCCCGAAACTAATAAAATTTAAGTGGAAATTTGATGCGTGAGTACTTCACAGACACCATGCTTAATTATTTATAGCAGTGCCAAAATTGGGTATCTTTCAATCACTGCTACAAGGGACCCTTATAAGAGCACTCTTCAAGGCAATATTAATTAAAATCTGGAGACAGGACAGAACTTTATGAGACATATATTTTTCAGTAATCCCTCAAAATTTGTGCAATAATTAACTCACAGCAATATGAATAAGATGTATGCAACTATATACTCATATTGCCCTTTACAGAAAACTTTCTCACAGCTGGATAATTACACTTGTATAGTTCTACAAGAAACATGAGTCAGGAGACTTCTAGTTGAAGCAAACCATTAGTGCTTATATTGTTATAAAGCTTAGATTGTTAGTTAAACTGTAAGGTACTACAATCATGTAAATATGGCAGCATTATTAAACACCTTATTCTAAACCAATAGTAACACCCAAATTAATTAGTTTCTTAATACTATTTAAATAAAAGAGTTGGGAATTTGATAGAACTTTAGAAATCAAGGATTAAATTTCTTTGACTTCAGTGGGTTTTTCAATAGGTCACAGGTATTTCTCTCCTTCTATCTTTCCTCCATTCACAATAGCCTAAGAAAACCCAAAGCAGAAGTTGGCATCTTGAGCAAAGGAATGGAGAACAGACTTATTCAGAACTGACAATTTTAATCAGCAAAGAAAGAAGGGAAAAATTTTTGGCTTGTTCCTATGTTTGCTGGAATTTGCTACTGTAGAAGATACAACAGATAGCGTCCTTCCTTATTTTCCTGAGAAGTGTATCTACTAGAAACGCATAGCTGAAACTGAATCATATGCTAACTGTAATGAGATTTTCTTTTTTTCTAAAGGAGATTGTAGCAGATGGGAGGCATTAGTATTAAAAATAATATACATTCAGTAAAGATATGTCATTGCTAATGCCATAATGACTCACCAGAAGAACAGATTGACACATAAGGATTAAAAATAAATAAGAAAATGGAAATTAAAATTTTAGATAATTGTTTAAGAATGGTTTTGAATAACTTGAATCCGACAAAGTGACAGAATACATTAGGTAGTTACATGAAAATATTCAAAACCAAGTAACATTTTAAAATAATGTATAATACAAATAAATCCTTAAGAATGATGGGGAAATGCAGGAGTAAACGTCCATTTCTTATATGGCTATTTTTTTAAAAAAGCACTTTAATTGAAATGAATTTATTTTGTACTTTTACCTGATTGCCAGTGGTATACTGATGTGTGAATTATTTCTAGTCTCCAAAAAAATCACATTCTTTTAGATAAGGCTTACCTGTTCATGCATTGTTTTTCACCAAGTGTTATCATGTCTCAAACAGTAAATTGAAAATTATTCCCCATCATTATATATATTTAATTAAGGAATAGAATCTTTCCATAAACATGATTCTTCCTACACATGTGAAACTGATTTTATTGATAGGTACAACATCCTACCACATGCAACACAAAGACAAGAAATATATCCATGAACTGCCCTTATAGAGAAGGCCAATATGCAAAAACCAAACAACTAAAAAAAGAAACAAAAGCAGCCAACCAAAAGTACCCCCAGAAGAAAAGAGCTACAGGAATAATGCAGGTTTTGCCCACAAAATTAAATATCATCATTCCCTGGGCTCTGCCCCGCCCTGTAGTATCTGTGATTATTGCCTACATCCAGAAGAGTACTACTAGGTGGCATCAGAGCTAATTAGCTTTGGAAAATGCTGTTAATTTCCTTTTAGCACTGGAAAACTAGGTATTAAAGCACTTTTCCCTGACCTCAGTATATCCATTTATCTTCCTCTTCCCGCAGAAGGAAAAATCCCAACATCACTCTTTGCTGTTCAACAATTTACGCCTAGAAAGCCTCCAGCCTTATTGTGTTAAGTCTCGCCAACTGTTCCATTTTTGGTCCCTTCTCACTACAGTCCTCCAAACTCACAGCAACTGTATTGTGCTGTCTTTTTGAGTAAAAGCAAACTTCACACAAACAGAATACGTGGGAGAAGTAAAGCAGCAAAACACACCTATCTTAAGTACTGTACCATGACACTGCTTCTAGCAGCATTCTGATGAGAAGTTCAGGAAAAACAAACATGTGCCTCTTCCTGAAGTGAAATAATGCTTGAGAAAGTATTCTTTACAAGCAGCTGTAAAATGTATGACAGTGTAAAAAGTCAGTCATCTCTCAGGAATAAACATAGGTGTGCTACACATACAAAAAGGAAAAGAAGTGGATAGCAGACACCTTCTGAACAAAGGCAGTTATGCCTTAGAGTCCAACAAATGTTGGAACCGTTTATTGCTTTCTAGAACAAACTGTAACCTATGTCATATTTGCTAGCTCATGGTTAGCATCAAAATATCATATACATCAAATAAAGAATTAAAAACACAAAAGTATGATCAAATACTAAGATCAATAAAATCACTTTCAAGTACGTATTTATACATAAAGAAGCTTGCCAGCTGTAGTGATGTCAGCTAACGTTCAGAAAAATAAATTCTGTATTTTCAGCTTTGCTAGCACATCTTACCTATAAGTGTCTATATATAGAGAAAGTAAATAAAAATTATACCTATAACATTGAATTTTCATTATGATATTGCATAGACTTATTCAATCACAAAAAAATTTACCTATCATTATGAAAAGAAGCATGTCTTTCAAGGACAGAAAGACCTAAATCCACACTATAGGATTAATATGGAGTGCTTACATAATTCCATAAAGGCAAGGCCTTAAAAGACACTTGGCAGCATTAAAATACATGTAAAATAATATCTTTATTAATATTATCAAATAAAGGTATAAATATTTTCTCGTGCATGTGA